TTGAATAAATTGGAAAGTTATTATGATGATCAGATTTGGATTTTACTATGATAGATGCTGAAGATTTGAATTATTATATAAATTCGAGAATTTATGATAATAGTTGTTTGAATTATGATACTTTGGAAAATTATAATGCCGTTGAGTAACTCATTTAGAGATGATAATACTTAAAGAATAAATAATTATGATTGAATCTTTCCTGATTGTGTGTGTTTGTAATAAATTAATGGTGGGAAGATAGCTTTGGGATGGTACCTCCCAAGGTGATGAACACAACTTTTGGGCTTTATGCATGATTTGTTTGTGACTGGCAGGGTTTCCCGGGTCACAGGGTAGACTGGCAGGGTTTCCCGGGTCTACCATGGTTCTCTTCCCACTAAATATAACGAACTTAAACATTATTAATAATGAAATTTGTTATTTGATTTGATTATGAAGAATGTCATTGAGTTGTGAATATTATCATATTATGACTAATGTTGTGCTAAATATATTAGTTGATAATTACCAAATACATTAAATGAACTTAATAAAGATAAATATTATATAATGGAATTTTGATTATTATATTGATATTTGATTTGATTAATGTGGAATTGATTTGAACACTATTTGACATTTGATTTAATTTGTTATTACTCATATTAATTGTATTTTGATTAGGATTACCAGCTTTGCTGACTTTTGTGTTTGTTTGACTGCAATGATCCTGCGGCTGCGGGGGAGCAGATTTTCAGTGAAGCATGTTGCAAAGGATGGGGCTAGCTGTGGACAGTGAGGATCACGACTCGAGTATTTCAAGCTAGTTTCTAAGTTTAGAAATTTATGAGATTTAAATAAATGCATAAGACATATTTCCTTTATTTAAACTTTAGTCTTTGGTTTTATTTTAATGTAATAAATTTAGCCTTGCACCTGTTCATTGTACAGGTGCGGCGGTAACATTCCCCAAATTAGATTTTGATTAGCTTCCGCAATATTTCTATTATTATAATTGTGAAAAAAAAAAATGAATTTTGACAATTTATTTATTATAAGATTGTTTCATAAATTGTTAGAAATTTGGGGTGTTACAAAATGGTATCAGAGCCCCTGGTTGCGGCTGGGGTTTGCTTTTGATATTGACTCGAGGGATCAAAGATCCCTGAGTTAAATAAAAAAAAAAAATTAGGAAATAAAATAATAGGACATAATGTAAATAAATAAATCGAGAGATGGGTAGTGAAGGGTTATTTTTCTTGTCCTTTAAATATGATTTATTTCTTTGAAATTTCGATGATTATATGTTTGGAATTATTTTGTGATTTAAAATTATTATTGATAATATTCTTTAACATTTTTTTTTATATACGCTATCTTTTGTAACTCGTTCTTATTTTAATAAAAGTAATTAGCTTTCTTTTAGAGTTGTTCTTGAAATAATTAAAGTTTTTCTAGCAAATGAAAGATAATATATGTAATAAAAATTTCTATTTGTTTAAACAAGATATTCAGTTTCGAAACTTTTTTTCTAGCTTTTTTTGGAGTTACCCAACCCTAATTATCTCTTTTTGAGACGAGTTGGCTCCCTCCGGTATCCCCACGAGCTTCGACTCTTTGAGCCGGCTATGGGACTAATCCGGAGTGCGGGGGAACAGTGATGACTAAAGGTTCAGCCCCCTCCCCAAGAATGCATTCAGCGGGAATCGAACACGTATCCAACCCCACTAACTCAGCGCCAAACTTTTTTTCTAGCTTGGTTAAAGTTAGCAAGTCATTAATTTGCAGTGCTTTAAATTTATTGTATTCTATGTTGTCTTGTTTGCCGGGTTATGCATGACTCTTTGATGTTTGCTTACATTTTTTTTAAAGGGGTTTCAAAAAAAAATTAATTAATTAAGTTTCGAGGACAAAACTTCTTTTAAGGAAGGTAGAATGTAATACCCCCATATTTTTATTAACTTTAACCTTATGCCTTTAAGTTAATTTGAGGAGCTCAAACTTCTAAGTTTCGAGGACGAAACTTCTTTTAAGAAGGGTAGAATGTAATACCCTATATTTTCTTTTAATAAAATAATAATAATAATAAATATTTTTTGGATAATAATGATATTTAGTATTTTTGTAATTAATAATATTGGTATTTAATATCTTTAATTAATGAGTTAATAATAGTTAAAATAATAAGATGTTATATAAAAATAGTAATATTATTTGTTTTATGTGATAATATATATATATATATATATATATATATATATATATATATATTAGATGATAAATTATGATTAATTGATTGATGATTTATGTATTTATGTTTGATTAGTAATGATTGATTAGTAAATTGTTTAGATATGATGAGTCAACAAACATAAATTGTTTAGATATGATGAGTCAACAAACATATATTGTTTAGATATGATGAGTCAATAAACATAAATTGTTTAGATATAATGAGTCAACAAACATATATTGTTTAGATATGATGAGTCAGCATTGAGTCAGTAATGTATAAGCCCTAAACTTCAACTATAAATAGAGACCTAGCTTAACCAAACCAATTCACTCTCCTCTACTACTCTCTCTCTTCTCACTCCAAAAAGCTTATTTTAATTATTTTCAATCTTTATATTTTTTTTTATCAACCGGTTCTCTACCCCAAATTACTCTTTTCTTCTAGAAGTTAGCGCGGAGACCAGGTAATCCTAATCTCTAGGTGGTTGTAGATTCGTTGTGTATGAAATTTTTATTGTGTGTAATCCTAATCTTTAGGTAGTTATATGTTTGATATGTGTAATCCTAATCCTTAGGTTATAATTTTGTTTGAAGTTTATTAATAGTAATCCTTATCCCTAGAGAGTCATAGATTATATTGATATGAATTTCGGTATATGTAATCCTATTCGTAGGTTATTTCTTTTATATAAAACTTGGATGTAATCTGAATCCTTAGGTGTTTAGGTTATCTCTATTATATGAAATTTGGGCATAATCCTTATATGTAATCCGTAGATGTTCTTAATAGTTTGGTATGAACATTTCTATATATATAGGTATTTGTTTTTTTTTAAATTTAAATTACTACATATGATAATTAGAATATTTTTGGAAATTTTTTATTATTTCAGAAATTATGATTATGTGCAATATATGATATAAACTTTTAATTCATGTGCAATATATGGATCTTATTGAATAATTATGAAAATTATGGAATTATACTACTCTTTAAGAAAAACTTTCCAAATATGTGTTTTAATGATTGAATTTAAATATTTATATTATTAATAACTATGATAATTGATGTGATGGGATTATTTGAATGACGATGATTGGATTTAGATTTTTCTATGATGAATGTTGAAGATTTGAATTATTATATCCTTGAATAAATTGGAAAGTTATGATAATGATCAGATTTGGATTTTACTGTGATGACTGTTGAAGATTTGAATTATCATATCCTTGAATAAATTGGAAAGTTATGATAATGATCAGATTTGGATTTTACTGTGATGACTGTTGAAGATTTGAATTATCATATCCTTGAATAAATTGGAAAGTTATTATGATGATCAGATTTGGATTTTACTATGATAGATGCTGAAGATTTGAATTATTATATAAATTCGAGAATTTATGATAATAGTTGTTTGAATTATGATACTTTGGAAAATTATAATGCCGTTGAGTAACTCATTTAGAGATGATAATACTTAAAGAATAAATAATTATGATTGAATCTTTCCTGATTGTGTGTGTTTGTAATAAATTAATGGTGGGAAGATAGCTTTGGGATGGTACCTCCCAAGGTGATGAACACAACTTTTGGGCTTTATGCCTCCGATGTGAAACTGATGTGAAAAAGATTATATCCGTTCTTTCCAAAGTGGTGTCTGGCAGGGTTTCCCGGGATACTAGTAGCAACTTTGGGAAGAGGTGTGCACACTAGGAAGATGTGAATTGATTATGGCCAATATGATTTGTTTGTGACTGGCAGGGTTTCCCGGGTCACAGGGTAGACTGGCAGGGTTTCCCGGGTCTACCATGGTTCTCTTCCCACTAAATATAACGAACTTAAACATTATTAATAATGAAATTTGTTATTTGATTTGATTATGAAGAATGTCATTGAGTTGTGAATATTATCATATTATGACTAATGTTGTGCTAAATATATTAGTTGATAATTACCAAATACATTAAATGAACTTAATAAAGATAAATATTATATAATGGAATTTTGATTATTATATTGATATTTGATTTGATTAATGTGGAATTGATTTGAACACTATTTGACATTTGATTTAATTTGTTATTACTCATATTAATTGTATTTTGATTAGGATTACCAGCTTTGCTGACTTTTGTGTTTGTTTGACTGCAATGATCCTGCGGCTGCGGGGGAGCAGATTTTCAGTGAAGCATGTTGCAAAGGATGGGGCTAGCTGTGGACAGTGAGGATCACGACTCGAGTATTTCAAGCTAGTTTCTAAGTTTAGAAATTTATGAGATTTAAATAAATGCATAAGACATATTTCCTTTATTTAAACTTTAGTCTTTGGTTTTATTTTAATGTAATAAATTTAGCCTTGCACCTGTTCATTGTACAGGTGCGGCGGTAACATTCCCCAAATTAGATTTTGATTAGCTTCCGCAATATTTCTATTATTATAATTGTGAAAAAAAAAAATGAATTTTGACAATTTATTTATTATAAGATTGTTTCATAAATTGTTAGAAATTTGGGGTGTTACAATATGTGTCCATGCCAACAACAAAAAAAATTTATTTTCCCACCATACAAAATCTTTAAGTTCTGATGCATATACGTTAAAACAGGCTTTTGATCTACACAAAGTGATATGCCATACCAGCTCAGATAACGAACAAAAAGCTGAAACAGAAACTGAAGCACAGAAACTGGAGACCACAGTTACAAAGCATCCGAAATTGGAAGGAGAGACCACAGAAATAAACCCAACTAATGGTCCTAAAGAACATGAAAAGGTTCCAGCATCACACTCAGGAGAGAAATTAGAGATCGAGGATGATGCCGAATTCATACATGAGGAAGCAAAAGAGATGGAAGAAGCAACTGATATGCACTTACGAAAAACTGCAACTGCAAGTATGTTTACAAAATTTATCGTTTTATTATTCAATGGTGAATTTCATTTTCATCCTACAATTAATTACAGATACTTTGTTCCCAAAAACAAAAGTTCATTATATTTCAATCCCCTTTGTAAAAAATCAATTCAACCCAAAAGCTTAAGTTGTTGGGTAAGGCTACATTAATGGTTTTATATATCTCTAACACGCCCCCCACAAGAGAGACCATTGGGCTTGAAAAGTGGATGATGCATCAAGCTCAGCTTACCTGTACAGCTGTGCTAAGAAATTCCACAAAGAAAATGGGGGGCGGCGAGAATCGAACCCGGGATACCGAGACTCTGATACCAAGTAAAGAACAATTAAAATGTATGAAAGTATTGTATTCAATTGTATATAGAACTGTACAAAAGTCCTCTATTTAAAGAGGTTAAAAAACCTAATGGGCCAAGCCCAAATAACCTGCTAGAATAACATAATAATAAATATACAATACTATTTAATACAATATTATTTCCAACACTCCCCCTCAAGCTGGTGCGTATATATCATAAGCTCCCAGCTTGTTACATATATGATCTATTCGGGGACCTCTAAGAGCCTTGGTAAAAACATCTACAAGTTGATCACTGGAATTGACAAATGCTGTCTCGATCTCTCCTGACTGAATCTTCTCTCTAACAAAGTGACAGTCAATTTCTATATGTTTGGTCCTCTCATGAAAGACTGGGTTAGAGGATATATGCAATGCTGCTTGATTGTCACAAATGAGCTTCATGGGCTGCTGTTCATAGAGATGTAGTTCCTTAAGCAATTGTTTTAGCCAGATGAGCTCACAAGTTGCATTTCTCATCGCCCGATATTCTGCCTCTGCACTTGACCTGGCGACTACAGATTGCTTCTTACTCTTCTAAGAAATCAAGTTTCCTCCGAGGAGAACACAATACCCCGAAGGTGGATCGTCTGTCTGAAGGAGAACCTGCCCAGTCAGCATCTGAATAGCTAGACACCTTTGCATTCCCTTTATTTGTGTATAATAAACCTCTTCCTAGTGCTCTTTTGATATATCGAAGAATCCTGATAGCTGCATCCCAATGGGAGTCACAAGGAGAGTTAAGGAATTGACTTGCCACACTAACTGCAAAAGAGATGTATGGTCTTGTCATAGTAAGATAGTTCAACTTTCCAGCTAGCCGGCGATAATGCCCAAGGTCTACCAATGGCTATCCTTGTCTGGGTAACAGCTTAACATTAGGATCCATAGGTGTATCAATAGGTTTACATCCCAACATACCAGTCTTATGTAGGATATCCAGTGCATACTTCCTCTGACAAATGGAAATGCCCTGCCTAGACTGTGCCACTTCGATCCCTAAGAAATATCGAAGTCTGCCAAGATCTTTGGTCTGAAACTGATTGAATAAGTATTTCTTTAACTGATCAATCCCACTTTGGTCGCTGCCAGTAATAATGATGTCATCAACATAGACCAAGAGATAGGAAAATGGCCAAAGAAGACCAAAGCAAGGGCCGTGCACGGCTATGTGATGAAGAGGCACCGGGAAGTCTCAGGACACACCTCACGTGCCTAGGTCTATGTGCATATACCGCAGCGCGCATGGAGGAAAATGACGGGGAGCCCCCCAGATCTAGACAGCCTGAACGAGGCACTTTAGTTCCGGAGGTTTTCATATCTGATTAGAAATTTTTCAGTTGCAGGAAAAATTGATAACGCCACAATGGATTTCCAAAAGAAGGCAAAGCAAGATTGAGTTGCAAGCATCGAGGCGTGATGAGTAGAAAAGGACATATGTGCAACGACCATAACCATGGCGATAATTACATTGTTACAATAGAGTTATAGATTTTACAAAACTTGACAATGAAATAGTGATAAGACAGGTCATGGAGGATGGTACCACTCTAATACCATGTTGAAATTATAGAGATTTAGATATGAAAGGACGGAAAGAGAGAATAGAGACTCAACGATATGAAATTGATATTAATTTGATATGTTATGATGTGATACAAGCTACAAAGTACTAATCCTTGTTTGTACTCATATTAGACTCCAAATCCTAATTAAACAAGGAAATAAATCATAAAATATAAAGAAATAAAGAAACAATTACTAAGAGATCATACCAGATACTCTAAATTATTCTAAGATACAATCAAGATATTATGAGATATTTTTCATATATCTTAACAATTTCATATATATAACGACAGGTGTGCCTAACGATGAAGACCGGTCAACATTGCCCACATCAGCAATAGTCAAAGGTGAGACGGTTGAGGAAATCTTACAGCAACAAACACTTCAGGAAGAGGAATCAGCAGCTATAGGTATCGACAAGAGCTGCAGACCAGGAAATGAACTCGAGGAAAAAAACAAAGCTGTTGAGGTTAGGCCTTAATGATGTTAACAATAGAATAATAACATACATATCTGCTTGATGTTTCAAACAAGTAAATTGCTCATGCATAGACATCCATGCGAGCAGACAATCATTTATTTTCTTCATTTGTAATACAAATTTGATTCTGATACTGCATATCTTAAAACAGGTATTCGATCAACCTGAAACTATGGTCAAGGTGGGTGCAAAAAATGGAGAACATGCTGACCACCAATTAGAAGCATCACACGTGTTGAGCGTGACTGCAAACCATATCAATGCAAAAGGAATGCTCACATTGGAAAGCAGTACAAAATCAAGTTATGATGTGAACGAACCAGAGAACATTCCAGTATCACACCTGATTGAGAATTCACTGATCCAGGATGGTAACAAAAACACACTAGAGAATCAACAGTTATCAAAGAATCAATTAATGTAGAGTTACAAAAATATGAAGCAGAGAGTAATTATGTTTTGAAAATTTACTAACTTGCTCTTTTGATTTTACTGAATTTGATTGACATCTTAGACGCAAACAAAAGGAAGTTTTTCTTCCAAGGGAATAAAAAAAGACCTACATGGTTTTCTAAATCTCTTGAAAAATAAAAAATAAAAATTCTTTCGCCTTAACTAAAAGTAAAAGCTACTGCATTCAAATGAAGGAAACAGTTTTATCAAACGTTGTATGTGGATCATAACATGTAAACAGTAACTGTTTGATCACATAAAGCAACTTGCCAGCGCAGTGGGATATTTTTAATTTTCAAGAAAACAGATATATGTACAAAAAAGTAGAATCATACCTAACCTTGTGTCGATGATTGTATTTAACATCTCATTTTTATAATGACAGGTGTCCCTGGGGATAAAGCCGTGCCAACTTTACCCACTACAGAATCTGTTGGAGTTGAAACAGTTGACAAAGGCATTCAAGAAAAAATATATATGGAAGCAGAATCAACAGTGACAGATACCACAGATGTGCAGAGACGAGAAAATGATTTTGAGGAGAAAAAGAAAGCTCCCGAGGTTTGGATGGAGTTCACGAAAATAAACTAGAAAATAATAGATAATTAACTTGCATTTTTTACCCTTGCACATGATAATTATGTATTCATGTCAACAGAAATTTATTTATTTTCCGAGCATACAACATCTGTAAGTTCTGACACAGTTTATGTTAAAATAGGCATTTGATCAACACGAAGTGTCACACCAGTCAAGCATGGAAAATGAACAGAAAGTTGAACTACTAGCTAAAGGGAAGAACCTGGAGATCTGTGTTATAAAGCATCCAAATCTGGAAGGAAAGACCGCAGATATAAACCCAATTAGTGATACTGAAAAACATGAAAAGGATCCAGGGTCATACACAGGAGAGAAATTAGAGATCAAGGATGGTGGGAAGTTCATAAATGAAGAAGCAAAAGAGATGGAAGAAGCAGCTGATATGCAGTTACTGAAAACTACAACAGAAAGTATGTTTCAAAATGTACCATCATTTTTTTAATGTTTTAGAGGATTTCATTTTCATCCTAGAAGCAATTACAGAAACTTTATGTTTCCAAAAACCAGAAGTTCATTACTGTTTCAAATCCACTCAAACAACAAATTTTTTCTGTGAAATGGCTTTGAGAGAGTTTTCAATTTCTAAAGAAATGAAACAACTTGCACTAAATAGCAGTGCTACATGTGGATGACAGCATTATAAGTTACAATAATAACTTTGTCCTTATCAGTAGCATGGCGTGGCCATAGAAATAGTTAGTTTAAAAGACAAGATAACTATCATATGTACAACAAAAGAACTACTTTAACCAATTTGGTGCGTAAGATAGCATAGAAATATCTCATTTGTATAACAACAGGTGTACTTGAAGATGAAGTGCAGTCAACATTGCCCACATCAACAATTGTCAAAGGTGAGAAGATTGAGGAAATCTTTCAGGAACAAACACTTGAGGAAGAGGAATCAGCAGCAGTAGATAACAATGATAGCTGCAGACCAGAAAATGAACTTGACCACCTGGCTAATGTTTTTGAGGTGAGCCAGAAATGAAGTTTAAAAGAAAATAATTACATACATAACTGCATGCCATTTCAGACAAGTAAATTGCTCGTGCTTAGACATCCATGCAAACAAATCAATCATTTATCTTCTTCATTTGTAACACAAATTTGGTTCTCATACTTCATATGTTAAAACAGGCAACTGATCAACCCAAATCCGTGGCCAAGGATGGTGCAGAAAATGTCGACCACCATTATGAACAATCTACAATGGAAAACATGACTACAAAGCATATCAGTTCAGAAGGAATGGTGACAACAGAAAACAGTACAAAATCAAGTTATGATGTAGAAGAACTGGAAAAGGTTCCAGATTTAGGCTCTGTTGGCAATGCAGAGATTAAGGATGCTGGAAAAATCACACTGGAGGAAGCCATTGATATCAAAGAAGCCACTGATGTGGAGTTGCAAAAGCCTGAAATAGAAAGTAATTATTTTTGAAAATTCAGTAACCTTTGTTTTGTCTTTTACCCAATTTGACATGACATCCTAGAAACAAATTTAACAAGATTAGTTTGGTGTAATCTAGCTCGGTATTTTGAATCAAATGAAACTAGAGTCCTTTGGTGTAATCTAGCTTTAGAAACTTACGGTGTTCTGGACAAAGGAATTATTTTTAGCAGATTCTTTGTGGATGATAGCATGTAGGCAATTATTTTGTTTGACCTCATACAGCATCTTTGTGTAGCAGTGAAATTTTGAGTTTTGAAGAGAACATATAAACGTCCCAAAAATATCGTGTGGATGATTGCATTTAACATTTCGTTAATGACAGGTGTGCCTGAGGAGAAATCCATCTCAACTTTGTCCCGAGTATCATCTGTCAGAGTTGAGGAAAGCATTCGAGAAGAATTGCAAAATGAAGTTGAACCAGCAGTGACTGATGTCAAAGAGGGGCAGAGAATAGAAAATGATTTTGAGGAGAACATGAAAGTTCTTGAGGTTTGACCAGACTACAAAAAAATAAACTAGTAAAATAATAGATACACTTTGCATTTTCACACTATCACATATTAACTATGTGTCCATGCAGATAACTAAATATGCATTTTCCCAAAGTACAGCATTACGTTCTGACACAAAATATGTTCAAACAGGCATTTGGTCCACAAAAAGCAACAGGCAACACCTATGCAGAAAATGAAAAGAAAGCAGAACCCCAATCTGAAGCACAGAGAATGGAGACCACAGTGATAAAGCATCCATATTTAAAAGGATTAGAGACTGCAGAAAAAAGCCCAAGTATTTATATTGACGAACTTGAAAAGGTACCAACATCACACACTGGAGAGAAATTAGACATCAAGGACGGTGGGAAAATCATACAAGAGGAAGCAAAAGAGAGGGAGGAAGCAACTGAAATTAAAATAGAAGCAATAATACAGTCACTGAAAACTGCAACACAGTGTACGTTTCAAATTGTCGGCTAATTTTTTCAGTCTTTAGTGAATTTCATTTCCATCCTAGAAGCAATAATAGAAACTTTGTTTACAAAAATTAAAATTTCATTACTCTTCCAAATCCCTTCAAACAATAAATTTTTGGATCTATATTGCAGTGAGATATTTCCATTTCTAAGGAAAAGATATAAGTTGTATTAAATGGAAGTTCAGTAAGCAGAGGATAGCATTATAGTAGCTTGGTGTAGCAATATAAATTTCCTGTTTCAAGACAGGATTGTTGATATTACAGGATTTAGGTAGTGAAGGAAGACAAAAGAGAATAGAGACTCTGAATGTAAGAAATTAGCTTGATTTGGTGAATCAGATAGTGATACAAAAGACAAAGAACTAAACCCTATTTATGAAAGGTTTTAGGTTAAGTAACTCCTAACCCAAAGCAAATAAGTGATCAAACAACTAACTAAAAAAAACATAATATCCCTAGGAATAAGATAAGATTTCTAAGAAGATAAGATCCCTAAAAAAAAGATAAAGCAATTATCCTTAAAATAAATAAATTATCCTATTCAATTATGCATCATTCACTCCCTCTGAGATATTTTATAGATATTCTAACACTCCCCCTCAAGCTAAAACTTAAAAATCATTAAGCTTGTTATAAACAAACAATTTAAAAAGAAAAGAACATATATATAAAGTGGACTCCGTGAAACATCACTAAACAAATAACTCAGGCCCGCTGAAGATGCAGGAGCAATGAGTATTGCTAGAAAGATAGCAAAGATGGCTGAAATTAATGAAAACATAAAAGAAATACCTTGGCAAGCAATAAGCACAAGATTCAAACTTCATCAAAAAAACATTTGGAAGTATCAAACACAGAAATATTTAAAAGACCCTAAAACTTAGAAATTGAAACTAAGGATGGTATAAAACTTTGCCAAAAAAAATTCATCATTGGTGAGATATGAGAAACCACCATCATTATGCTTCATCAGTAGAGGGCTAGTGTGAATCAAAGCCAATAAAGAATTCATCACCAGTATGACTCATCCATGACATAGTGGAAATCACCACTGGTATGATTCATGATTGGAATCAAAGTCACCACTACTATGATCATTAGATGGTAAAAAGTGACGGATCTAGTTCATGAAGAATGTTACTGCTCCTATATCATGTTGAAATTATAGGATTAAGGTAGGGAAGGAGAAAAAGAGAGAATAGATTGTCTAAATGAAAAGATATTAGATTGATATGGGGTATTAATTAAACTAATTAAGTTTTGAAACAAAAGACAAAGAACTAACCGTTATTTATTCTATAGTTTAAGTACTACACTCTTAACACTAATCAAATAAACGAACAAAACTTACTAAACATAAAATCCTAAGGAATAAGATAAGATTCCTAAAAGGATAAGAACCCTAAAAAAGGTAATGCCCTTAAAATAAACGCATCATTCACTCTCTCTTAGATATATTGTAGATATTTTATCAAGGATATTCAGCTGATGTACTAAAAACAAGAACTGCTTCAGCTAACTCTGTGCAGATGATAGTGTTCAAATTATAGGGTTTTGGTAAAGACTAACAAAAGATAAGATAAAATCCCTAAGAATATGATAAGGGTCTTAAATACATAAGATTTCTTAAAAATTAGGTAATAAAATTATCCCCAGCATAACAAACTTATCCTAATCTATTATGCATCTCTCTGCAAGCCTGGAGCAGTGGAAAAGTTGCTCATTTGTACTGAAATGTCACGAGTTTGAATCCGGGAAACAACCTCTTTGCAAATTTGCAAAGTTAAGGCTGCGAGCAAGGATTGCCCTCACCCTACCCTCGTTAGTCGGGATTTAATGGGGAGTCTTTTTATTATGCATCTCTCCCTTTATGCTATTTTTTTACATATTTTAATTGATAGCATAGAAATATGTCATGTATAATGACAGGTGTACATAAGGATGAAACCCCATCAACATTGGCCATTGTCGAAGGTGAGACGGTTGAGCAAAGCTTTCAGGACCAAACACCTAAGGAGGAGGAATCAACAACGAAAGATAACAAGAATAACAGCAGACCAGAAAATAAACTTGAACAAACAACTAAAGTTCTCGAGGTTCGGCATTAAGGAAGTTAACAAGAAAATATTTACATAGATAACAGCATGGTGATTAACACACGTAAATTACTCATGCATATGCATCCATGCAAACAAACAAATGATCATTTATTTTCCTCTTTTATAATACAAATTTGATTCTGATACTGCATATGTTAAAACAGCCAATTTCTCAACCCGAAACCACCAACATGGTCAGTGCAGAAAATGAAGAAAATGCTGACTACCAGTCTGAAGCACCAAGCATGGAGAACGTGATAACAAAGCAAAATGCTGGTAAAATCATGTTGGAGGAAGCAATAGATATCAAAGAAGCCACTGATGTGGAGTTACAAAAATCTGAAACAGATAGTAATTACGTTTAAAAAAATCAGCATCCTTCACTTTATGTCTTTACCAAATTTGATTTGACACCCTAGAAACAAATACAACACAAGCTTATGTTTCCCAAGAAAAAAAAAAGTCCTACATGGTTTTTTGAAATGCCTTGATACCAAATTTCTTTAGCATAGACTAGCACTAAAAACTATTGCTTTCAGTCAAAAGGAACAACTTTATCCAACTCTGTATTTGGATGATAACATGTAAACAGTAATTCTTTGGCCTTAAAAGCAGCTTGTTGTGGCAGTAGGATTTTTTTAATTTTGAAGAAAACATATAATTTACAAAAAAAAGTAGTACCATAGGCTACCTTATCTCAAGGATTGTATTCAACATCTAATTTGTATAATGACAGGTGTGCCTGAGCATAAATCCCTGTCAACTTTACCAACTACAGCATCTGTCACAGTTGAAGCAATTGAGAAAAGCACTCAAGAAGAAATACATAAGAAAGAGGAATCAGCAGTGACAGATACCGAAGAGGGACAGAGACCAGAATATGATTTTGAGAAAAATAAAGTTCCTCAGGTTTGTGTCGACTGTGACAAAATAAAATAAATCATAGAAACTACCTTGCATTTTTATATTTGCACTTCTTAATTATGTGTCCTTGCACCAACCCATGATTTATTTTCCCAACATACAATATCTTTAAGTTCTGATGCAGTTTATATTAAAACAGACCTTTCATATACACAAAGGAAGAGGCAACACCTGCTTGGAAAATGAAAAGAAAGCTGAACCGCAATCTGAAGCGCAGACCATTGAGACAATGGTTATAAAGTATTCGAATTTGGAAGGACAGGTTGCCACTGAAATAAACCCTGATATTGATACTGAAGTACTTGAAAAGGTTCCAGTGTCACAAGAGGGAGAGAAATTAGAGATCAAGGATGGTAGGAAAATCATAAAAGAAGAAGAAAAGGAGATGGAGGAAGCAACTAGTATGCAATCACCGAAAACTGCAATACAAAGTATGTTTAGAAAATCTAGCAATTAAAGAAACTTCAATTTCCAAAAATTTAAATTTTATCATGCTTTTTCAAATCCCTTGAAACAATAACCTTTTTGTTTTGACATTGTATTGAAATTTTCAATTACAAAAGAAAAGATACAACTTGTACTAAACAAAGAATCGTATGTGGATGTTAGCATTAAAAGATACTAAGTTAACACTTTGGCCTTATCAGTAGCTTGGTGCGGCATCAGAAATTCCAAGTTTTTGAGACAGAATATCTATCAGATGTACTAAAAAGAATTACTTTAGCCAACTTTGTGCAGATGACAGAAAACAAACATCTCATTTGTATATTGACAGGTCTACCTGAGGATGAATCATCATCAACATTACCCACCTGGACATTTGTCAAAGGTGAGACATTTGAGAAAAACTTTTCAGAACAAACACTTAAGGAAGCGGAATCAACAGAGATAGAGAACAAGAGCTGCAGAACAGAAAATCAACTTGAGCAAACAACTAAAGTTCTGGAGGTTAGGCACTACTGAAGCAAAAAAGAAAATATTAACATAGATAACTGCATGTAATCTGACACACGAAAATTGCTCATGCTTGTGCATCCATACAAACCAACAATCAATTATTTATTTCCTCATTTGTAATACAAATTCAATTCTGATACTGCATATGTTAAAACAGGCAAGTGATCTAGCCAAACTCATGGGCAAGGTTAGTGCAGAAAACGAAGAACATACTGACCAACAATCTGAAGTACCAAGTACAGAGAACATGATTACGGAGTATACAAATTCAGAAGGTATGCTGACAACAGAAAGCAGCAGAAAATCAAGTTGTGTGGAAGAACTGGAAAACATTCCAGAGTCACACTCTTTTGAGAATTCAGAAATCAAGGATAGTGGAAAAATCATGACGGAGGAAGAAATATATATCCAAGAAGCCACTGATGCAAAGTTACAAAAATCTGAAACAGAAAGTAATTATCTTTTGGAAATTTAGCAACCTGCTCTTTTGTTTTTACCAAAATTCATTTAATATCCTAGAAACAAATACAACAAGCTTAAACCTCATTTAATTTTATTTTACTTTTAAGAAAAAAGGAAAGACCTACATGCTTTTTCAAATGCCTTTAAACAAAAATGCTTTTGTTTTTCTTTGGCACATCACTTGATTTAAAATAAGATTAGGCATTTGGCATCTATTTGGTGTAAAGCACATGGTTTTTCTAATAGGATTTCAAAAGAGATAGGTTCACGAATTGGGAAGCTTTCTTATATTGATTTCTCTCTTTTCTTGGTTGTTCTCTTGTTTAGGAAGACTCTTTATGCTCCTTTCCATTTGTAATTTATTCTCTTCATCTATATACATTTCCCCTTAATAATAATAATAATAATAATAATAATAATAAAAAAAACTTTCACGGTGACAAACATGAAAAATTATTGTGTTTGAAAGAAAGCAACAACTTTATCTAACTCTGTACGTGTAGGGAAACATGTAAACAGTAATTCTTTGGCATCATAAAGTAGCTTGAGGCAATGGAATTTTTCAAGTTTTGAAGAAAACATAAAAATGAACAAGAAAAGAGTACCTTTGCCAACTTTGTGTCAATGATTTCTTTCAACATCTCAATTGTATATTGACAGGTGTGCCAGAGGATAAAGCCCTGTCAACTTTACCCACTAAAGCATCAGGCGAAGCAGAAACAGTTGAGAAAAGCATTCAACAAGAAATACGTAAGGAAACTGAATCAGCAGAGACAGATACCAAAGAGGGGCAGATAGCAGAAAATGATTTTAAGGAGAACATGGAAGTTCTTAAGGTTTAAGTAGACTACTGCAAAATAAACTACAAGAACACCAATTTTCACACTTGCACCTCTTCTTAATTATTTGTCCATGCAAAAGCATAAAATTATTTCTTAAGGTTCACCTTCTGACTGAGTACCCGTTAAAACAGGCATTTGATTTACAAAAAGCAACAAGAAATACGCGCACAGAAAATGAAAAGAAAGCTGAACCCCAATCTGAAGCACAGAGTGTGGAGACCATGCCTATAAAGCATCAAAATTTAGGACTGGAGACAACAAATATAAATCCAAGTAATAATACTGAAGAACTTGAAAAGGTCCCAGCATCACACACTACACAGAAATTAGAGATCAAGGATGGCAGGAAAATCATACAAGGGGAAGATGAAGCAAATACACAGTTACCGAAATCTACAATAGAAAGTAAATTTCAACAATTCAGCAACTTTATAAAGTCTTTAGGGAACTTCATTATGATCCTAAAAGCAATTACAGAAATTTCAATTTCAAAAAATTCAAATTTCATCATGCTTTGGCCCTTGAAATAATAACTTTTTGCTGTGATATAGCATTCAAAGTTTTCAAAACCAAAAGAAAAGATAGCATTAAAATTTACAACCATAACTCTTTGGCTTTATGCGTAGCATGGTATGGCAAAAGAAATTTCCAGTTTTTGAGACAGCACATCTATCAGATGTACTAGAAAGAACTACTGTAGCTAATTAGAGCAGATGATAGCACACAAACATCTCATACGCATAATGCAGGTGTACTTGAGGATGAATCCACATCAACATTAGCCACATTGCCAATTGTCAAAGGTGAGACATTTGAGAAAAGCTATCAGGAACAAAAGCATAAGGAGGAGGAGACAACCATGATAGAGAACAACAAGAGCTGCAGGAAAAAAAATGAACTTGAGCAAATGACTGAAGCTGTTGAGGTTAGGCAGTAATGAAGTAAACAAGAAAACATTAACATACATTACTGGATGCAGTTTTCCGCACGGAAATTTACATGCTTATGCATTCATGAAAATAAACAATCAATGAATTATTTTCTTCATTTGTAATACAAATTTGATTCTGATGCAGCATGTGTTAAAAAAGGCATTGGATCTACCCAAAATCATGGGCAAGGACAGTGCAGAAAATGAAGAACATGCTGGCCACCAACCTGAAGTGCCAAGCATGGAAAACGTGATTATAAAGCATACCAAATCAGAAGAAATGGTGACAGTAGAAAGCAGCACAAAATCAAATTATAATGTGGTGGAACATGAAAAGATATCGGAGCCACACCCTTTCAAAAATTTAGAGATTGAGGATGGTGGAAAAATCATGCCAGAGGATGCAGTAGATATCAAAGAAGGCAGAGATCTGGAATTACATAAATCGGAAACAGAAAGTAATTACTTTTTGAAAATTCAGCATCCTTCTTTTTTGTCAAGCTGAAGTCCCCAACCACCACCACCCCCCCCAAAAAAAAAAAAAAAAAAAAAAAAACAAGAAAAAAAGTCTAGTCCTGCATGGTTTTTTAAATCCCTTAAAACAAAAGTTTCTAGCATTAGAGACTTCTGTGTTCTGGAGAAAGGAACAATTTTAGCCAACTGTATTTGGTTCATAGCATGTAAACAGTAATTGTATAGCCTCATAAAGCAGCTTGTTGTGGTGAAGGGATTTTTTGAGTTTTAAAGAAAACATATAAATATACCAAAAATGAACTACTGTCGCGAATATTGTGGGGATGATTGCATTAAACATCTCATTTGTATAATGACAGGTGTACCTGAGGATAAAGCCATCTCAACTGTACCCACTATAGCATCTGTTGGAGTTGAAACATTTAAGCAAGGCATTCAAGAAGAAATACATAAGGAAACTGAATCAGCAGTGACTGATACCAAAAAGGGGCAGAGTCCAGAAAATGAGTTTGAGGAGAATACGAATGTTCTAGAGGTTTGACCAGACTGCAACAAAATAAACTAGATAATGATAGATACCTTGCCGTTTCACACTTGCACATCTTAATTATGTGTCTGTGTTGACAACCAAATATATATTTTCCCAACATACAATATATTTAACTTCTGATGCAGTTTATGTTAAACAGGCATTTGATCTACACAAAGTGACAGGAAACACCTGCGTGGAAAATGCAAAGAAAGCTGAAGCCCAATCTGTAGTACAGAGCCTAGACACCATGGTTATAAAGCATCCGAATTTAGAAGGATTGGAGACCACAAAAATAAGTCCAAGTAATGATACTACAGAACTTGAAGGGAAACACAAAGTTGCCGAGCCTGGTGGTGGCTCTGAATTGGTATCTGTAGATGTCACAAAGGAGTGTTCAAATAAAGATATCCCCATGCTAGGTGATCTGCCAATGCTTTCTGACCAAAACCCCAAAAATAACAACTCTGATATTAGTAAAATATCTGCTAGTGATCATTGTAAATTAGACTCTGAGAAAGAAGAAAATCTGCTCATAGAAGCCTCTGGTTGTACTGCAACCAGCACACATAAGAACAGTGAGACAATAAAAGGACAAGAGAACTCAGAAACAACTTTTAAAGACAGTTTGATAGGTTTTGCAGGAGAGAGAGCACCAACTGAATTGGAAACAGAAGAATCTAGCCATGAACATCAGAGTACTGATGATACTCCAGCTGAAAAGGTCTAAGAGGCATATCGCATATATAACTTTAATTTCCGATAAAAAAGCCAATGGCATATTATAGCAGAGAAACAGCATTTTCTTACTTCTAAATGTAATAAGCTAGCAATATATATATACATATATATGGCTAGTGATGTATTTATCCATTTCCATGATAAGCTCTTTGTGACTTTTTATTTATTTATTTATTGTGAAATAGATTGTCAAAGCAGCTGACACAAATGAGAAGCTTGAATTAGCTCCTGAATCTATAGCTATAGAGCAAAGTGACAAAAAGAACAGTTTTGACTCCTCAATGTACACAGCAGATGGAACTTCCATGTATGATGGAAATGGTGAGAAAGTCAGAAACAGTGTAGAAAGTATTGTAGCAGGGAAACTAGTAGCAAAATTGGATCCAGATGATCAAAGTGACATGCATGAGTCTACTAAGATGGACGAAAGTGAACTTGCAGCAGAGAAGGTCAGTGAATGTTCCTCCATCTTACAAAAAAAGAAAAGTATGCATTTATCATTTGGAACAATAAATACATTATTCAGATAAGTGGCATCAGAAAAACGTGTGCAGCAATACCACACCATTTTAATTTTTCATCTTTCTATATCAGCCATGCTAAACCAGGATGCTTCAGCCTGGAGCAAATTATGCTTAAATTCTCACATACCATAGAAATCTTTTTCTTTCTTTATTAACTACAATGCACAGTGTTACTCATCCACCATTGTGGAACAGATACCCGGACCACCTTATCCAGGCAAGAAGCTTGAATCATACTTTGATTCTGAGGCCCATGAACAAGCAAAGGAGAAGAGCAAAAATATTCAGGATCAGATTTCTGAATCTGATCACCACATTCAACAACAAGAGTTTCAGTGTGAAAATCAGACAAAACCTGAGCCCCAAATGGAAGCTGAAAATGATTTCAGTGTACAATTAAATGCTAAAAAAAACCCAGTGGCTAGCCTTATAACCAAAGAGGTAAGGATTAAAGCATTATAGTTTTTACATATGTAATTGAAGAATTTTCTATTCTCAGATTAAACCTATAAAGCAGGTTCACGACGGAGTTGACAAAGCTGATGCAAGTAAAAACATTGAAACACAGACCATAGGTTCCGATAAAGGCTTATCGGAAGTTCAGATATTATTTCCTGGAGAAGAGACAGTTAATCAGGTGAGCTTAACATAGTACTTCCAATACCACTAAACCTTTATAATGCCCTACTATTATTTCTTCAGTCCCCAAAATCTTGAATTTCAAATTGTGAAAAAGGTGAAAGATCACATTATCAAAAACTTCAAAGCAACAGACTCCAAAGAGCAGAGAGCAATAGCAGACTTGAGCTTTGAAAATGACCCTATCAGAAAGGACGTGACATCTAAAGACACAGATGAAGCGATTGAGCAACCAGCCACAGGAAAACAGGAAACTCAAGAGGCAGAAACCACTCAAGTAGGAACTGCAAAAGAAGATGAAGGAGGAGATGACTTCGAAAAAATAAGCCCATCATCTAGCAGCACTGTCATGATCAAAGACTCTCAACATTCCGATGTGAAAGTTTCACACAAAAAATCTCATGGCATCCTCTCAGGTGTTGGGTCAAAGGTAAAACATTCAATTTCCAAAGTGAAGAAAGCCATTACGGGTAAGTCTTCACACCCAAAGACACCATCACCAAAATAAAATAAGCAAGTAAACAATGGCATGCTGCTACTGTAAATAGCCATATGTTTGAGTATGTTGGCTTGTATAGTATGTTGAGGGATTGTATAGCTTTGCTTCATCTTTGTATGTATTGTTTTCTTTGTTCTTTGTTGTTTGTTTTGATTTTTTCATTTTAAGGAGAATCTCTTATCCTCCTAACTCTATGTGATGTAATCATATTCTATTTCTCTTATGAATTCCCACATGTAGTTAGTGATTGAGAACGTTGGTTTCAATTATAGAGGAGAATTGTGATAGCCATTGCCACAGGGACAGTTGAAAGAAATGCTTAAGCGCTGAAAATCTATCAAAAGAACAAAGAAAACCGAAGGAATGATGACATTCAAGTTCTGAAATTAATTTTCTCGAGAACCAAACGGAAAAGGCAAGAAAATCTTATCATAAAGAGAATGAACTCCATACCTGACTCGGATTCTTTCTCGATTCTGAGAGAGGAGGGTTCGTACTGGCGCCAATTTCTAATAACATAGATATAATGAGGTTTGCTGATTGTGGTACTTTTTTATTTTTTTTTCAATTCTTTTATTATTTAAATAGATTATTTTTGTTTTTCTTTTTGAGCCAAAATTAGATGAATATTTTGTCAAAAAATAATAATATATATTTTAGGAGAAAAAATTAATCCTTTTAAAATATAGTCATTTTAGTTTAAAATATTATTTTTATTTAAAATTTAAATTAAAAAAAATGTCTTACTCTCTCCTCCCATAATTTTCACTGTCCATTTTAAAGGAAAAACTATTTGTCATTTTAAATACATAAAGTTATGTTATTTTATAAGAGAGATAGACACAAAATAAATTTTTTTATTTAAAATTTAAATTAAAAAAAAACCTCTTACTCTCTCCTCCCATAATTTTCACTGTCCATTTTAAAAGGAAAAAATATTTGTTATTTTAACTAAAATAAAGTTATGTTATTTTATAAGAAAGATAGACACAAAATAAATTTTTTTATTTAAAATTTAAATTAAAAAAAAAACATCCACTTTCTCTCTCTCATGATTTTCATTTCTTGTGTTTATTTCTCTCGTAGAATGACATAACTTATGTCAACATCAAACTCATTTTAAAATAACACAATTTTATAAGGACAAACTCTAATCCTTTTATTTTATGTGTTATATGCGTACAATTCACTAAAAAATTTAATGTCGTTGTAAATCAGCTTAATAATTTTACGCAAAATTACTATTACCAAAATATAAAAATATCTTCAAGACAAAAAAAAATGACTGTATTTTAAAACGCTCAATCGTATATTTTATTTGAATTAAAAGAAACAAAACTTTTCAAAATAACACTATTTTTTTATCATATTAAATTAATGATAACTCCTGAGTATTCTTAGCATTTATTATTTTTGTTTTTGGTAAAGAGCTTTTTACTAGGTAACTCTTAAAGAGTAAATTAACATTTTAATTTTAAAAAAAAAATATTATCATATTAATTTAATTTTTAAAAGACATATGTCACTGATTTAGTCTAGAATAACATTAATTTAGTTTTATATAAGAGGTAAGTTATATTTATAAATTTTTTTGACATTATGTTATTCTGAGAGAAAATAATGTAATTTAAAAAAAATTTAAACGGGATCATTCCATGTCATTGCTTCCACGCAGTGAACCTTGGATGGAAAAGAATTCTGAACCACCGCCAGCACCCGATCCTTGTTCTCTTAAATCTCTAACTACACAAGACATGTCGGATGTTGATTCATTGATGGAGTCTGAGACCATACCACCTTGTTCAGTGGACGCTAATGGGAATGTGGAGACCGACAATCTCTACACATCATCTTAGTTTTTTACTAAAAACTCAATTTATTTATTTATCTTTATTTAAATTTAAAAAATTTAGAGTGAGAAATTTTGATTTTTTTTAACTCGCCCTTATTATTAGGATTGAGATTAGATTATAGCAAATAATAAATATAGAAATATATATGTTCTGGACGAACATTAGTATGGATTAGTTCTAATTGTCTATCCTCCTTGGGATGTTAACCCCTATATTTATACTCCTAGTTAGCGTAGTTGCACTGGACGTGGAGAGAAGGTGGTTACCTTGAATGTTGATGAGTATTTATACTCCTTTTTATTACCGTCTGCCTTTTCCATTTTTTCAGTTTCACTCATCCTCCTACCTTCTCCTTCTTCTTCTTTCTTTGCTTTCTTCTTCTTTCCTTTCTGGTCCGACTTTCACTACTATTCTGGTTGTCTTCTTCACGTAGGCATTGCTGTGACTTTTTTACTGTTGATTTTAAGCCCCCAGTTCTTCATACAAGTAAGTTCTCTTGTTTCTTGTTTTACCTTGTTATGTTTTGCCTAATGTATAAAAAATGTTTGCCTATACTGTCATCGCTTACCTTGATGAATTGTACCCATGACTTGTTTATTTATTCTTTACGTTCTTCCTCTTCTTCCTAATTTCTTTACCTAAATATCTTTGTCTTCTTGAATATTCTGGTACCGGCTTGTTAATCTCTGGACGGATTAAGGATCTAACTTGTAAACAACACATTCTATGTTAGGCATTTAAACTTATCATATATCTTCTAAAAGTTTATTGATACCTTTTCGTCCAGGCAATGCCGAGGAATCGTCTGTATCGTTCACTCCCCCTTTCTCGCTTCGCACTACCCTCTATTGTAGAAGGTTTAGAATGGGTTGATGAAGAAGCTCTAGGGCTTCGTTCTTCTTATGAAAATCAGCCGAGTACCCTCCATACTGCTTTACAACTAGTGCCACTATTTCGTGACTCAATAATTACTTCTTTTCGCGTTTCTGTACCCGGAGAAGAAGAACGCATTTGCTCGCCTTCTGGGCAAGGTGAGAACTCCTTCTTTATTGCCTACAAATGCTTGTTTTCCGAGCTCAAAATTTCTTTACCCTTTACCGAGTTCCAAGTAGATGTCTTGAACCACCTCGAAGTCGTTCCTTCTCAACTACACCCCAACAGTTGGTGTTTTTTGCATACGTTTGAGATAATCTGTCAATCATTTGGATTTGCGTACTCTTATCGAGTTTTCTTCTGTCTATTTGCTGTGTTCCGAAACGCCGTTGACAAAGGATGTCCTCGTCATAGTTGGGTTTCATTGAAAGCCCGTCCTGGGCTACGTTGGTGTAGTATGTACGAAGATAACTGGAAGAATTTCAAAGAAGAATATTTCAAAATTTGTATACCTGAAGCTCTTCCTGCTACACCTTCTGCCTCCTCTTCTTCCTCACAACCTGCTCCCTTTTCTGCCTTCTTCTTGAATCAGGACGGAACTCCACGATTTCCTCTTAGTTGGAACAGTCAACATTACACCACTTCTGCTAGAGCGTTTTAATTAACTCAAAATATTTGAGTACTGATGAAAATGAAACTTATACCTGGTTCAAGCAGCTCGCTTCCGAGTTATGTAAAGAAAATATTTCTCTCACTCCTCGGTCTATCCTAACTAACCAAGATTCTCCTGAGTGGGTTTGCCGAAAATTAAGTAAGTACTTATAAAATTCTTTTATGTTTTTCTATATGTTCTTCTTTTAACCTTATTTTTGTTTTTGCGATTGTATGTTCTACAGACAAGTGCATGGATCCCACCTTTTTTGCTCGCCAAAAACAAAAAGCTGCCCAAAAGGAAGATTCCTCTGTCTCTGGCGACAAGGACAAACGCCATGCTCCATCTTCGGTTTCTGGCGAGAAAGAACTCTCTCTTACTCGCTCTCTTATGCCAGCTACTTCTGCAACGGGTTCTATACCGAGTACCGCTGTTGAGATGGAGAAGGAGGTTCCGATTGACTCTGGCGAGATCCGTCATCCCAAACAAGTTCGGATGCCCCCCAGTTCTAGCCATGATTTTTCAAGTGACAAATCTATGACTCCTCCCCCTTCTATTATTGCTACCCCTTCTTCTGACCCCCCATTTATGAAAAAGATAAAACCTTGCTTTACTGCTGGGCTGCGTGAAAAATGGAGTAAATTTTCTGTGGACCAACTCATCCAAAAATTTACTGACATCCGAGATCATTCCCTCCGAGAATCTCATTATTACGAAATGGACCTCCTGGCTCTAGCTGAACGCCAGCACCTTCAGTCTGAGCTTAAAGATTTACAGCTTTTAAAAACCAACTTGCAGGTGGAACGAACTCATCTACTCAAAAAAGCTGAAACTCCCGAGTTGGTATCACAAGACACTCAACTCAAACTCACAGAATCCGAGGATTTGAGGAAAAAGTTGAATGAAGAGCTTACTATGCTTAAACAAGATCACCAAGTGCTTACTGATGAACAAAAAATTCTGAAGAAAAACTTTGAAGATTCTGACCTCCGAGTAGCCGAATTGGAGCTGGAAGTGGATACTTTAAAGAAGGAAATCTCAAACTTACGACAAGCTGCGGATGACATGGATTCAAAATATGTTGCCTTTGGCCATCAAATTCGTGGTTGGGTTGTAGACGAGGTGAAATTTTTCCACCCGGACTCCCCTTTATTACACTTAGACAAAATTGAGACCTTCAACTTCATCCAAGAAGGGCGGCTATGTACTCACGATGAAAAAGGTTCTGTTGTTGTTCTTGCTGATTGCCCCTCTAACTATATACAGTCCAACTCTGCTACTGATCAAGCTACTTCCGAGGATAATCCAAAAGATACTTGAAGGGGTGGAATGCCACCTTATTTTGTATTCAGTTTTATTTCTCCTGTTTTGTTTTGACTCTCTATTTTGTATTTTGTCCCATTAACTTGCGTTACTAGGAATATTATGTGCATCCTATCAACTTCTTAATTTTTAATAGGAATATTATGTGCATCGTATTGATGTTGCTTCGCAATTATTTGAAATTATCACGCAATTAACTAATGTTTCATCTAAATAACATTTCGCCACACGCCTTTACGGATGGAAAAAGATTGTCTTCTCGTTTCCGAGTAAGAGTTAAATGGGTGCCCAGATGGGCCATCAAAGCGACCAGGGACTGCCTTCCTACTTCCGAGTAGGAATTGAACAGGTGCCCAAGAAGTCAATCGAGACGGCAAGGGACTTTATATTTCCGCTTCCGAGTAGGAATTGAACGGGTGCCCCAGAGGCCAATTAAGGGACTTTTTTTTCCCGTTTCCGAGTAGGAATTGAACGGGTGCCCCAGAGGCCAATCAAGGCGGCAAGGGACTTTGTTTTCCCGTTTCCGAGTAGGAATTGAACGGCTGCCCAAGAGGCTAATGAAGGCGGCAAGGGACTTTGTTTTCCCGTTTCCGAGTAGGAATCGAACAGCTGCCCAAGAGGCCAATTAAGGCGGCAAGGGACTTTGTTTTTTCTTAATAATACGTATTGAAGTCGAACTGGCTTTATTTAATTGAAATATTGTAACTCTCAATCTTAAATGTACCATACTTAAATGCAAAATAACTGCAACACATAATAACATAAAATACTCCTACTAAATTAACAAACTAAACTTACTTCCTAATCATCAATGTAAAACTACATCTTACTTACGACCTACGATCTGCCATCCGACTTCCAACTAAATCTGGATCTCTTCAACTAAAGTACCTTTTTAACTTGGCAGCATCCCAATATCGCGGAATTGGTTTCCCACCCAAGTGCTCTATCTGATAAGCTCCAGCCCCTGTGGCAACTGTTACTCGATAAGGACCTTCCCAATTAGCTGCCATTTTTCCATCTCTTGCATTCTTATTACCCACATCTGCCCGCCTAAGCACCAAATCTCCTTCCTGAAACGTCCTTTTGACTACAGTCCGATTGTACCTCGTTGCTGCTCGTTGCTTAGATGCCAACTAAACCATTGCCACATTTTCTCGTTCTTCTTCCAACAACTGTAAATCAATTTTCATCATCTCAGCATTCCCGTCTTCATTTTCTTCTAATATCATTTTCCTTCTCCAGGTTGGCTCTCCGACTTCAACCGGCAACATAGCATCAAAACCATATGTCATCTTAAATGGTGTTTCTTGAATGCTGGACTGCACGGAGGTCTTATATCCCCACAACACATTATCCAACTCTTCCACCCAACTTCCTTTACACCCTTCCACCCTCCTTTTCAGCCCATTCGTCAAGATTTTGTTAGCTGACTCTACTTGCCCATTCGTTTGGGGATGTTCTACTGCAGCAAACTTGTGCCTTATCCCCAAGTCGGCTACCATCTGTCTGAACTTCTTGTCTATAAACTGTGTCCCATTATCAGTGATAATTATGGCCGGAATACCAAATCTACAAACTATCTTTCCAATGAAAAACTTCTGGACCTTCCGAGCAGTAATAGTCGCTACCAGTTCCGCTTCAATCCACTTAGTGAAATAATCTGCGGCCACTATCAGATATCTAACTCCTCCAACTGCCCTAGGAAAGGGACCTAGAAGATCTAAGCCCCACTTATAGAATGGTCAAGGTGACGAAATGGTAAATAACTCTTCGGGAGGAGCTTGATACACATTAGAAAACTTCTGGCATTGATCACATTTCTGAACATGTCTTTTAGCGTCTTCTCCCATCGTTGGCCAAAAATATCCTGCTCGTATAGCTTTCCTTGCCAACGACTTCCCACCAAGGTGGTGCCCGTTAATTCCTTCAGTATCTCTTCTAACACATATTCTGTGTTCAGCGCAGCAATACATTTCAGCAAAGGTGAATTTACTCCCCGTCTGTATAACTACCCTTCTATCATCACAAACCACGCTGCTCGTCTTCTCAAACGACTTGCCTCCATCTTTTCGTTTGGTTCTTTACCATTCGCCAGATAATCCTTAATTGGGCTCCTCCAATCTACCTCTTCTACCATCCATACTACACTCGGAGCCCGAATGCTCTGCTGAATAATAGTCCTCAAACTTCCAGTGGCTTTAGTACTGGCCAACTTGGATAAGACGTCTGCTCGTACATTATCACTTCTCCGAATATGCTCTACGCGGATCTCCTTAAATTCTCTCATCAGTTCTTGTACTTTTGCTAAGTACTTAATCATAACTTCCCCTCTTGCTTGGTACACCCCGCTTATTTGTGAAGTCGCCAACTGAGAATCACTATACACTGTCAAACACTCCGCTCCGAGCTCTTTTGCCAAAATCAACCCAGCAATCAGTGCTTCATACTCGGCTTGATTATTACTTGTGGGGAATGCTAGCGACAAGGAATGCTCTACTGCCACCCCCTCTGAATTCTCGACTATAATTCCAACCCCACTACCTCTTTTATTGGATGATCCGTCTACAAACAACTTCCACCAATTATTTTCTTCGGTACCTCCATGATGCGTCATTTCTACCAGAAAATCAGCTAATGCTTGTGCTTTAATTGCTTTACGTGCTTCAAAGGTAATCCCAAACTCAGTAACTCTACTGCCCATGCTACCATTCGACCTGCTAAATTCGGCTTATGTAACATATGCTTTATTGGCTGGTTCGTTCTGACTACTATTTGATGGCACTGAAAATACTGACGAAGCCGCCGTGCTGAAATTAGTAATGTAAAAGCCACTGTCTCTACATGCTGAAATTAGTAATGTAAAAGCCACTTTCTCTACATGCTGATACCTCACTTCTGCTCCTTGCAACACTTTGCTGATGAAGTACACGGGCTGCTGTTGCCCACTCTTTCCTTCTCGGACAAGCACCGAACTTACTGCTTCTTGGGAAACGGACAGATACAAATATAAAGGCTCCCCTGGTTCCGGCTTACTAAGAATTGGTGGTGAAGCTAAGATGTTTTTGAAATGCTGAAAAATAACCTCACACTCCTCAGTCCATGTAAATTCAGATCCCTTTTTTAAGAGTTGAAAAGGTGGTAAAGACACTTGCGCAAATTTAGCCAAAAACCTTGACAGAGCTGTCACTCGCCCATTTAACTTCTGAACTTCTTGAACATTCTCTGGGCTCTTCATTTCCATCACCGCTCTACATTTATCTGGGTTAGCTTCTATTCCCCTTTCTGTCAAAAAGAAACCCAAAAACTTTCCTGCCGAAACTCCGAAAGCACACTTACTCGGATTTAAACGCATATTGTGCTTCTGAACTTGCTCAAAAACCTCTTGCAAATCTGCTAAATGCATCTTACCATCTTCCGACTTCACAATCATGCCATCCATGTACACCTCTAACATTCTTCCAATCTGCTCCTTAAACACTTTATTCATCATCCTCATATAAGTTGCCCCTGCGTTCTTGAGCCCAAACGGCATGACATTGTAACAATACACTGCATTTTCTGTTACGAATGTTGTCTTCTCCTGGTCTTCTTTCCATAATGGTATCTGATTGTACCCGAAATATGCATCTATGAATGACAACACTTTATATCCTGACGCCTTATCCACCAGATGATCGATACTGGGTAAAGGAAATGGGTCTTTAGGACAAACTTTATTCAAATCCGTGTAATCTGTACACATCCTCCATCTCCCATCCGACTTCTTAATCAACACAGGGTTGGCTAACCATGTGGCATACTCTATTTCTCTAATGAAACCTGCTTCTAACAACTCTTTGGTTTTTTCCTCAATCGCCTTCCTCCTTTCAGCACAGAATCTCCTCTTCTTCTGGGCTACCGGCTTCGCTCCAGGAATTATTGCCAAACGATGACAAGATAAAGCAGGGTCCATCCCGGGCATATCAGAAGGTTTCCATGCGAAAAGATCAGCATTCTTTTGTAATAACTCTTTCATCCTAGCCCTCACATCAGATTCTAACTCGGAACCCATTTTAGTAACCTACTCCTTACCTGCTCCTAACTGAACCTCTTCCATGGTTCCCACGGGTTCTAGTCTCTCCACTTTATTTTCTATCCGGGGATCCATCCCGACTACCATTACTTGCTCCTCTTTCTTTTCGTCTACTTCCCTTTGTGCTTCTCTCTTCTCTTTTGCCTCATCTCTTATCATTACTCGCTCCTTCTTACTTTCCTGTGGAATCCTCAAACTCATGTTATCACAGCTTCTTGCCATTACCTGATCCGCCTTTATCATTGCCACCTTGTCATCCTTAGCTACAAATTTCATTGCCAACTGATCAATTGACAAAAAGATCTTGAATTTCTTCATGAATGGTCTGCCCAATATAATATTATACGCGGAACCCAGATCCACTACCGCAAACGACAAAGTAACTGTCTTGTGTGTAGGCGCGGTCCCCAACGTTAACCTCAATGGAATGTATCCCAAAAGTTTAATCTTGTCTCTTGTAAATGCTAACAAATCGGCTCCACACGGCTCCAACTGATCATAATCTAAATCCATTCTTCTGAAAGCATCCCAAAATATAATATCCACTGAACTCCCTGGATCTACCAACATTCTATCAACTTGATAGTTTGCCAACAATCCCGAAATCACTAAGGGATCATCATGCTCCGGGTCTAGTATCTCATCGTCTAAATCCTCAAACAGTACCTGCTTGCCCGTCTTTTTTTGCTCTTCTTTAAAACGCGGTTTCTCTGAAATGGCCATACATATCTTTAAGTCTTTTTCTGGGCATTCCCAGATTCTCCTCCTCCTGCTCGCCCTCCAGCTATAGTGCAAATATGCCCCACCGGAACTCGACCCGGAGACGATTGATTTTCTGCTCTTTGATTTTTGTTAGCCTCCCTATTCCTTCCCCTAGGCGGGCTGCGACTTCGGTCTAGTCGCCGGATCTTATCTTCCTTACACCCATCTCCTTCTCCTCTTCTTACATATTTTTGTAGTTTCCCTTCTTGAATTAACCTTTTAATAACATTCTGCAAGTTAAAACAATCATTTGTATAATGTCCATACCCCCGATGAAATTCACACCATTTCGTTTTATCTGCCTGGGCATAAGTCGACCGAATCGGCGGAGGCCGTGGAACATTTCACATTTCTGTAGACATTACCTCCTTCAATATCTGGGCTCTGGACGTATTTAATGGTGTGAAGTCTCTCTTATATGCTTCTCTAAATCTTTCCCTACTATCCGAGGTCGCCTTTCGTCAAACTGTCCTCTTCCAGCAGGATTGTCCGGCCTCCTAAATGTAGCTTCTCTGAACCCTTGTTCAATTTGCTTCTGAGAAGATCTAAATTCTTCCAAATCGATATACTTCTGAATCCTTTCCATCAACTCTTCCTTTGTAGCCGGTCCTTTTTTTCGCCAAAGAATCTGCCAACCCGCCAGGCTGTAACCCGGTGGTAAACAACAGCAAATACGTCTGATTCTCCAACCCCTTCACTTGTCTAGCTTCTGCTTGAAACCGTTCATAATACTCTCTGACCTTTTCTCCTGGCTTCTGTCTCACTCCACATAAATTGTGTGTGGTTTTTGGATGGGGTCCACAATGAGCAAACTGCTGTATGAAACGAAGAGATAAATCGGACCAACTGTCAATGTAATTGACTGGCAGGCCCGTAAACCATTCTAACGCCTGCTTCCTTAGGAAAACTGGAAATGTCCGACATAACAAAGAGTCTGATTCTCCACATAATGACATCGCTGCCCGAAAAACGGTTACAAATCCTTTGGATCTGAACTTCCATCATAAGCTTTCATCTCAGTGGGTTGTTTGAACCAACTCGGAATAGGCTTCGCCCTCAATCTCCAAGATAAAGGGGTTCCTGAAAGACCCTGACTACCAGGCGGCTCTCGAATCTCCTGCGACATCTGTTGTGTTAATCTCCTCGTCTGCTCGTTCCAGCTTGGTCCTTCTTGTCTCATCATCTGTCCTTCATAACCATGAGGACTATAATTCTCTACTGATTGCCACTCTCCTCTCTGAGCCCGGGTTCCTGGTGCATAATAGTACTCATCTTCATCTTGTGGAAAATCATCTCTGTAATAAATATACCGTCTTCCTCCATCTGTCCTCCTCCTTTCATCAGCTTCTTCATAACGTCTCTGACCTCGCCCCTGCCCCCTATGGCGAGCGTAATAATGACAACCTTCCTGTCGTTGCTCGCCTTCCCAAGCATCCCCACGAGGTTGCTCAACATCTTCATCTTGACGCCCACGTCCTCGTCTTGCGTCTCTGACATTTGCATCATAAGCTTCTTCTTCTACCCTCCGGTTTACTCCACGTCCTTCCCCCTGATAATTTCTCCTCTCTAAAAGACTTCTGGATATCTGAGATCCTTGCCCTCTTCGAACTTCTGTCCTCCTATTCCCAGTCTCAGGTGGAAGTGATAATGGAGTATAATCAGGAAAGGGAGATACAGAACCTCTCCATCTATCCCAATCATGTGGCACGTTCCTCTCAACTAATCTCTCTTCTGAATATGGCCTTCTTCCTCTTCCTTCCTGATGTTGCCGGTTCCTTATCTCCTCCATTAACTGAATTAAAGCTTCTCCAATAGTATCTAATGATCGACTCCCTCCACTGGATCGGAAAGAATCCTCTTCCCTTATGTTTTCTTCATTCTCCTCCACTCGCTCATCATGGTTGTTGCTTGCCATGACTCAAGAAAATGCGTAGGATTAGCTTTACCTTTCCCACAGACGACGCCAAATGTTCTGGACGAACATTAGTATGGATTAGTTCTAATTGTCTATCCTCCTTGGGATATTAACCCCTATATTTATATTCCTAGTTAGCGTAGTTGCACTGGACGTGGAGAGAAGGTGGTTACCTTGGATGTTGATGAGTAGTTATCTGGGACGTGCCATCGTGGTAAGTCCCACCTTCTGGATTAATAAAGGAGACAACTGCCCTATAACCCGGGTACCTTTGTCCCGGGTTCTTCCAACCCGTATCTGAGTAACTAACCCGGAACAATATAAATTATATTAGATTATTTCTCCATCTACTATAACAAGGAGGAAAAAGAAATAGGGAAAAACTTTTTTATTTAGATTATATTAGATTATTTCTCCATCTATTATTTTAGTTAAAATTAGCATTTTTTATTTAATATTTAAATTAAATTTTTTTTATTTTCTCTTAACATGATTTTTATTTTTCTCACAATAAAACATAGTAATTTTTGACTAAAATAATAATAAAAAATAAATACTAATCGCAAAGAAATAATGTTTAAAAAAAAAAACCCAACCTAGAGATTTAAACGGTGTCGTTTGACAGCCGAGCAGTACCTGCATACACAATCTTAAACCCTAAAAAGTTGAAGTCCGATTGTGTGCGAGGCTATTACTTTGCACCTGCGTTTTTTTTTAACCTCTCTCTCAACAGCAACAATGGTGAAGCACTACAGACCCCCGGTGAGTTCTGAACGCTCTTTTCACGGTTTCGAAACTCATCTTCGTCTCAACACGTCCCTTTTGAGATTATCATGACTTTGTGAATTTGCTTGAAAATCTGTTTCTGCTTTCATAACTATGAAAGTAGTTATTATTATTATTATTATTATTATTTGTTTCTCTTTTGGTGTTTTAATAGATGGGTAGTATGTACTTCTATTTTCTTCTCTTTTGGTTCATGCCCATATTGTGATTTTGTGTTGGGGGTGAATTTTTTTTTTTTTTGGTATTTGTAATATTTTGATTGCTGCTCATTTATGTACGATAAGGAAATTAGAGGGAAAATAAACGAAAGTTTTCTTGTTGAAAGTTAACCCTTTTCTTTCAACATGTTATGCTTGTAGAGAGTTTCTAAGTCCTTTATGGTGATGTGATATTTTTCTTTCTTTTTTTCTTATGGCAGGGAAAGAAAAAGGAGGGAAACGCTGCTAAATTTGTCACGAGGTCACAAGCACTCAAGCAGCTTCAAATTAGTCTACCCCTTTTCAGGTTCCATATTCAAATCTCATTTGTAAATCCATTTTTTTTTTTTTTTTTTGGAATTTAGCCAAGGATCAACTTTATTCTTCAACACGGAAAAAGAGGTTTCTTTTGGGTTTAAAAATCTATTGGCTGAATGATATCATATGGTGAATTGCATATCTTAATTTTTATTGTGAAACATTTGGGAAACAATAAAGATTTTGATTCTGATATTGTCTTTTGCAAATTTTAGGAAACTATGCATTTTGAAAGGAGTAACTCCTCGGGAGCCTAAGAAAAAGTTCAAAGGAACTCACCAGACTTATTACCATGTGAAGGATATCACATTTCTTCATCATGAACCTTTGCTTGAAATACATAGAGCAATAAGAGTACATGAGAGAAAAATAAAGAAGGCAGAGGCAAAGAAAAACCATGAACGAGCGAAAAGGCTGCGGGAGAAAACACCCAAACCCAAGATTGATAGGATTATTCGGCAGAGGTTTGTTTGATTTTGTTGATCTCGGTTTATGTCTTGTTACTGGTGGTGAATTTCCAATTTACTTGATTGTTCTTTGAATTACAGATACCCAAGATTTGTAGATGCACTTGGAGAATTGGATGACTGTCTTTCAATGGTGCATCTTTTTGCAGCTTTACCTGCATCAGAGAGCAAAAAAATTGAAGTTGAGCGTGTCCATAAATGTCGAAGGTATATACTTGGAATTTGAGTAACTTTGAATTAATATGCAATAAAGAATTTAGGCCTTTTTGGCTTTCCTTTGAAAGTAAGGACCTGAGGAGCAGATTTTAGATTTAAGTCCCATTGGTATTTTCATGTATTTTCTTTTAAAAATAATGCAAATTTTCATGCTGCTAATGATCTTTAAATCTGTATTTATTCTTGTTGCTTGTCTGCTAGAATGGCACATGAATGGCAAGCATTCATATCGCGCACTCACAAGTTAAGAAAAACATTTGTATCTGTTAAAGGCATATACTACCAGGTATAACTTGTGGCATTTGTAATGTTCATTAATCTTAATAGTACAAGTTATGGATTGATTGTGCTGGTTGTGCAGGCTGAGATCGAGGGCCAAACAATAACATGGTTGACTCCTCATTCACTACAGCAGGTTGTGTCTGATGATGTTGACATCGCTACCATGCTAAACTTTTTGCAATTGTATGAGGTTAGTTTCATGTTATGTTTTTATGTAGTGTCTTTATTCCATTAACCCATCAATATTCTTGTCATCCCAATTAATATTATAGATCTATGTATTTTAATCATGTAAATGTTTAATTCGAATAAGTTCTAGTGTTGTGTCGGGATCATATATAAACCAAACTTAGTTACACAACTTCCTTGTTCTGTCTTCACTGTTGGACCTGTATCTCCTAATCCTTGATTGTATTCATACCTATTTACCTGGTTTGGTCAACTTTTTACTATTTTCTTAAACTTCTACAATGAATTGCTGCAGCCTCTTCTTGGTTTTGTCAATTTCCGCCTCTATCACTCTATAAATTTGAAGTATCCCCCCATACTTGATCCTCGGTTGGAAGCTTTGGCAGCAGGTACAATTTTCCTCAACTTAAATGGAACTTTGCTGCAGCAGATATTTATGTATCCACTGATAAATTTCTTTTCAAATTATGTAGATTTATATGCGCTGTCAAGATATGCCAATGCGAATACCAGACCCTCTGTAGTCAATTCTGAAGCTTCTCATGTAGCTGAATCTGAGCAAGTGGAGACCAAGCAAAAAATGGCAGAGACTGTAGATGAAAAATCTGAGCTAAGACTTGCTCAACTTCAGCATCAACTTCCTTCCAATGAACCTGGTGCACTAATGCACCTTGTCGAGGAAGTTGCTGATGAAGATGAAGAGGATCAAGATACAAAAGAATGTAAAAAGCTCTTTAAAAATATGAAGTTCTTCTTGAGCAGGGAGGTAAGACCTTTATTTTGACAGTCTTGATACCACTATTTGAAACTATTGTTTTTGTCAAATAGTTGGGAATTGCGTGCATAGTATTTGCTGAGTTACATTTGAAACTATTGTTTTTGTCAAATAGTTGGGAATTTGCGTGCATAGTATTTGCTGAGTTACATTTCATGATTTTAAAATGGTTTAAAGTAAAATTAACAAAGAGGTTATATATGGATTAGTGATGTTAAAAATTTGCAAATACATTTCTTAAAGAATTAAAGTCAGAGTTGATAACATTTATCTATATGTATATGTCTCTCTGTGTGTGTGTGTGTGTGTATTATTCACTTCTCAATTGAACAGCTGGGTCATACATATTGTCTAGTTATGTTTTAATTTGTAGTAGAACTTGAAAGCCTACTGTTGTTAAATTTCTGCTAGATGCTATTAGATAATTAGTAAAAACCCTCTTAAAGAGGCCAGTGAGGGTTGGCTAAACAGCTTCAACTGTTAAGATTGAATATTGTCCACAATAAGGTCTTGGTTCTATTCTTACTAGTGGACTTTCTTTGGTAGGTTATATGTGGGTACCACTGTAAGCCCTTCCTGAGGCTTACAGTATGCTCTGACCTTAGAATGAGGCAGGCTTCTCTCCCTCTAAATTTGTTTGTACGAATCTAAAGATTCTCTTTAAAGAGAATCACCTTGTTTTGGTGGGAAACCATTAAGATATTTGTCAAGTACTCTGGCATGGTGAATTTGTTGATATTTATAAGGTGACTTTGTTTTCCTGTTGCAACATGAACATTTTAAAAAAAAATTAAGCATATTAATGTATGAAATTTGTGTTGTAATTTTAAAATTGATGTCCGATGATGCAGATCATGTGCATATAACAGAACACATCTTATCAGATTTTTTAAAAAAAGTGTGATGATGCTATATGTTTTCAATGAAAGGTTTATTGTGGAATTTTTCTCATTATTGTGTGTATGTTTTGACATTACCTGTGTCCGTTCTGGTCTAATTATTCAGGCACCAAGGGAATCATTACTTTTTGTTATTCCGGCTTTTGGTGGTATAGTCTCCTGGGAGGGAGAGGGGGCACCATTTGGGGAATCTGACCAGAGCATTACTCATCAGGTTTGTGATTAAGCTTACCATATTTTAGGTGACATAACTTTTTATACCTTCCTTTTAGGTTCACTTAATTATTGATTTATGTTTAGGTTGTTGACAGGGAATCACAAGGACACAGGTTTCTCTCAAGAGAATATGTTCAACCGCAGTGGGTATTTGACTGTGTGAATGCGCGGATTATTTTACCAACGGAGAATTATGCGGTGGGAAGGTAACTTCTAATTCATTTGTGTTTCTTTATTCACTTCTCATATCTGTTGAACCATTTTGATCAGTTTGGTGTTGATTGTGGAAATTTACAATTTCTATCTTTTACAATGTAAACCATGTTAATATTTTTGCTTGTCAGAAAACTAGTTCCTTCGCCTCTGTTCTCTGATAATTGAAATTGCATTATCTGTGCTTATTTTAGGTTCACTATGGTTCTTATTGGTTGAAGTTTTTCTAGGTGGGAATGTGCCATTTTATTTGTCTGAGCAAATTAATTTTTCCTACAAGGGATCATGATAGCATTCTGTGGAATCACACGTCTATATATCCTTTCATCCTTATATTTTGTTGGATGAATTTGTTTCTAATTAAAGGATTTTTATCTAAATCTGAAAAAAGAATTAGTAATTATGATACAATGCCAAATCTACAGTAATTATGTAAACAGAGAAAATCAGTTCATCAATTTAGTTGTCCTCACAGTCATTAATTTTACATTTATTTAAGAGAGCAGGTTAGAAAAATCCATACATATTATATGTATATGTATGTATGTATGTATGTGTACTGTATGTTTCTCTCTCTATTAAATTTGAAGAAAAATGTGTACGTATATTAAAGAAAGTCTATCCTCTCACCCCTACCCTCACAAAGATTTGCCCTTTATATTAAAAAGAGCCTATCTTTATTTTAACTACAACTTTCCTGGCTAAAATGTTTCTTTCATCAACAGGATTCCTCCACCGCACTTGTCACCTTTTATTAACTACGACGAAGAAGGAGCATATGTTCCTGACTATGCAAAGACCATTAAACACTTGCAAGCTGCTGCCAGAGAGGAAGTTCTTCCACTTCCAGGTGTTGGAAAAGAAGATCTGGAAGATCCTCAAAATCTTCTGGTCGAAGGTATTATTGATCGAGCAGAGGCTAATGAAGCCACACGGAGAAAGCAGAAGGTATGCATATAGTGTGAGAAGAACACAGAATCATAATAGTGGAATGAGTGGAGGGGCTCACTTTGTTATTCAATTATTATAATTCGAATGATCGCGTTGCAGATGATGATTCTCGAGCAGCAATACCATGATGATTTGAAAAAAGAACTTGAAGGTGTTAGTTATGCTTCAGCAGGTTCTAATGTTGGTAAAGAAACATTTACTGGAGTTGTACACCCTGGAGAGTCAACTACCAGCATTAAAGAAAATGTTGCTGATGTTGATGACATGGGTAAACTTATGATGTCACGTAAAAAGAGAAAACTATTGGAAGCCATGCAGGTAACTCTTTTTATCCTTCCTTATGCAGAATCACCAGTACTATTTTTTTTTTTTCAAATAATCTATTTGTCCAGTGTCCGGTTGGCCTGTCTAGCCCATCACATATAGCGGGTTGGGTTGGGATTTTCAACGAATTTGAACCCACCACACATTAGGGTGAGTCTAAGCAGGTTGAACTGGCTGAAGGACGAGTTGATCTCTCTCTTTTTTTTATTATTTTAAAATTAATTAATGATCTTTTTACACCTCTTTAGTCTTCATTTGATACCCTTTGCATTTATGGGGAATACAAATTTTCAAAAAAAGTTACATTGACGGGTTGGCGGTTACCCTTTTACCACATCTATACCTGAGCTTACAATTTTATTTTTACTGTTCTTTCTAATCAAGTGTCCTGTCTAACCGGTTGCAAAGTGACAGGTTGCCTTTGAAGTTTATTATATAAACTCGATTGGTGTAGTCTTTTCAATTGGTTCTGATTTTTCATTATTTTATGTTTGAAAATGTGTCATTCAGATATCGAATAAACGCAAGCAAGCTCATAACGATCTTATTAAACAACGTAAAAAGAAAATTGATGAAGCTCAGAGTTGAAGAGATCCTGCATCCTCACGGATTCCAGTTTTGATTTCATTATGTGTTATAGCTGCTGATTTATAAGGCTATTTTATTTTTCAGTTTGCTAGTATAGGCATTTGAACTTATTTTAAGTCTCATTCTTGTTTTGTAACTGATCTGTTTTCAAAGGCCTGAGAAAAATTTGATTTGTTTAAGGACTTTTTGTAAGTTCTCAGGTTTGAGCCTTTGATATATTTGTCTGTTGTCCCAGATTCAGTAAATCAACTGGGTGTGTAAGAAACTAATTAAATCCAGTAAACTAGATGTTAAAAAGTTTGATTTAGTTTATCACTTTCAAAAGTAGCGAACCTCACCAAATTGAACTAGCCCTATCAATTAATGTTCTTGAAAGTTTAATTCTATTAATCGGATCGGGAAAGATGGTGAAAGAGATCAGGAATGAAAATATGGATGCAGTCGTGGCCAATGTTTATCTGGGCAAATCTTTGAAAAATTCTTATCGAAGAAAATATTCTTTGGGAATCAGTGGATTTAGGAGTTGATTATATTTAAATGGATATTTTAAATTATTTGTACACATTATTGACAAATTGAAAAAATACTTGATATTTGTTTGATCTATAGAAATAAAATAAAGAAAAAATTCTAACAAAACAAAATTGTTAAAATTAATTTTATAGGTTGACAAGAAAAATCTATTCCGACGTGTATTCCTTATGTAATGGAGTTCAAATCACATCTTTCTTTACGCATGTATTGATTAGTTGATTTTAATTTTTAAAAAATTTGTAAAGATATAATTTTATTCTTTTTATTATGTTCATTTTATTATCTTTATTTAATATATTATTATAGATCATGCTAACAATAAATTAGAGAATTGAAATAATGTAAATGAACAAACAAAAAAACAAGTAAATAATATTCAAAAAAGTTATATATATATATATATATATATATGTATGGATTCGCTTTTTTTGCAGTTACTGCAGATAAATTATCTGCAGTAAGTCAATACGACGTCGTTTTGGGACGGAAATCATGATATTTTTGTAATTTTAGTTTATTTCAGGATTATAATAGTCTTTATATTTATAATTTTTTAAGATTTCAATACTAAAACGACATCGTTATGGGAATAAATGCAGATAACTTATCTGCATTAACTGCAGAAACATTTTTCCCATATATGAATACTGATCGGGTTTTGTATTACATAACATGTGGTTTTGTGCAATTTAGTAAAACGCTGCGTTTGGAGTTTTAAACTTTTTTCCCTTGATTTAATTTTTTTTATGTAATATGAGAAAATTTTCTCACACATTTTATGTGGGGCCCACCTCTATTTAAAAAAAAAAAAAAATGTTACACGAAAATCGAAGGGTCACTTATCGAAAAAAACGATTCTCTTATAATATGAAAAAATATTTTTCATATATATATATATATATATATATATATATATATATATATATATATATGAAAAATGTTTCTGCAGTTAATGCAGATAAGTTATCTGCATTTATTCTCAAAACGACGTCGTTTTGGTATTGAAATCTTAAAAAATTATGAATATAAAGACTATTATAACCCTGAAATAAATTAAAATTACAAAAACATCATGATTTCTGTCCCAAAACGACGTCGTATTGGCTTACTGCAGATAAGTTATCTGTAGTAACTGCAGAAAAAATAAACCCATATATATATATCAGCTTGAGAGAACAGAGGACAACGTGTTGGAAATACACACTCACAAAAGCAATATTTATTAAATGTAAATTATATTATATATTAAGAATATTATTTAATATCAAAACATATTCTAACATGTGAAAATATAATATTTTTAGAATTAACATGTTATCATATTGTATTATGTGCTGCGTCGGTGTCAGAGCAACATAAATGCTAGGTATATTATATCCTGAACTAGTTGTTGAATAAATATTTGGTACTACTGTTGTACCAAAGATTCAGTGCATCCCACCAATGAAAATATTACATGTCAGTTAAAATTCTTTTTTTTCTGTCAATTTTTTTTGCTCTCCTCTGATGTGTAATGTTCTCATTGATGAGATGCATTGAATCTTGATACAAAAGTACCAAAAATTTATTCCTAGGTGTTATCGGCTTTGGGGCCTATTCTTGTAAGGCCTGTACATTGCACAACTTTTATCCATTTGTTTCTTAGGTGTTATTTTATTTTTAAGGGATATATACTTCTTAGCTAACTGAAAGTGGGACCTACCAGAAGAGAGAAAAAATAGTGACAACACATGAATTGAAGGGTCAACAGGGAATTGTTGTATTCTCCTACATCATAAGAAATATAAAACCCTATTTTTATATACTATTTTTGTTAATATTTTTCTCTCCTGTCACACTATAGTGTAGTTTGGCAGTCTAATTTAATATTTTTGATATATTAGTAATGAATCACAAATTCGTAAATAAATTTGACACACAATATTTTTATTTATTTTTAGGGGAAGATTATAGTTATTATCTTTTTTTCTTACTACCTTTTACTGCTAAATTTTAACCGTTGAATCATTCAATTCAACAGTTATAATTTATTGGGTCATATTTGTTATGGACCCGCGTGATGGGCCCATTAAGTAGTAAGCCCAACAAGGGGCAATCCAAGATATGGATTGATGTTAATCAAATCCTACTAATCTTAATGTGTCAGCATAGCTATCCACTTTATGTGTCAGCATAGCTATCCAAACTATCTACAGGTAACCTCTATAAATACCAGGGCAAACCCTAAAGGTACACACATTCTCTCTCTTATTGTTATGCTGTCACTGTGCACACACACACCCCATTGGCTAACGCCATTATAGTATTCTGTGCACAGTGATCTCCTTGACTCAAGGGTATCTCCCTCATAGATACCTTGGAGAGGGCATCAGATCCAATATTAACGTACTAGCCTGACTGGGCTAGACATCTCTATCTCAAGGACAAAACATTGGCGCCGTCTGTGGGGATTCTTTTCTTTGAATTTGAATCTGAAGTTCCCACCAAATCTGACAAGGGATGGCAATCCAGACGAGGAGCAGTAGCCAGCAGCCACCCCCAAACCAGAATCAGCCGTTGGATCCAGTCATATAACGCCTGACAACTTGCATGGATCAACGACTGTCCCCACACACTAACACGAGACTTTTCAGCGTGCTTTGTCCTCACTCGCACACTTCCTGGTAAAACTTTCCAGGAGGTCACCCATCCCAGAATTGCTCCAAGTCAAGCACGCTTAACTATGGAGTTCTTCCGTTCCGGACTACCGAAAAGTAGATGCATCTTGTTTTGCATAGGTAGTACCAATTAATTCTTATAAGCTATCTCAAACTGTGCAGTCATATACCTGCACAGCCTTTGGAATCCCTATCTTTCGGGTGTCGATTCGATTCACTCATGCATGTAACCCCCCGCTGGAAGCCTGTCATGAGCCGCTCCTTGTCCGTGCCTCTTTGCACCGGCGATCACTCCTCGCCCTCATCAGCGCTCGAGATGTTACATGCCCACCAGCTTCCGCCTGGTTCGTCCTCGAACACCGTACTGGAAGAGAGGCCCTGCTCTGATACCACTATAACGCCTGACAACTTGCAAGGATCAACGACTGTCCCCACACACTAACACGAGACTTTTCAGCGTGCTTTGTCCTCACTCGCACACTTCCTGGTAAAACTTTCCAGGAGGTCACCCATCCCAGAATTGCTCCAAGTCAAGCACGCTTAACTATGGAGTTCTTCCGTTCTGGACTACCGAAAAGTAGATGCATCTTGTTTTGCATAGGTAGTACCAATTAATTCTTATAAGCTATCTCAAACTGTGCAGTCATATACCTGCACAACCTTTGGAATCCCTCTCTTTCGGGTGTCGATTCGATTCACTCATGCATGTAACCCCCCGCTGGAAGCCTGTCATGAGCCGCTCCTTGTCCGTGCCTCTTTGCACCGGCGATCACTCCTCGTCCTCATCAGCGCTCGGGATGTTACAAGTCATTGAGGAGATAAATCAGCCTTATAATCGGATCGGAAACAACGTGGATTACGACCACGTCCAGGTCGAAGACGATGTTTCAGACACCGCTTCAACGCCTGTACTCCGAAATGGGGGAGCTGCAGCGAACGTAGCTCCAATAAGGAGCAACCCTGCCCAGTATCCTGGCGATCTGGCTGCGCGCGTCGCTCAATCGGCCGATCCGGATACTCGGTTGGCCAACAACGCATTAAACGCAATTATGGAACGAATAGCAGTGCTGGAAACCCGTACTAACTTGCAACGGCAACAAGATTTCAGGGCTATTCGAGAGGAAAATAACAGAGGGATGCAAGACCTGGAGCGACGATTAACACGACGGACTGTACCAGGAATGACCAATTTTGAAGGCCAGCCTGCCTTTGGCCGAGAAGGACCTAGGAACTCGGTTCAATCATACCAAGTTCCTCATGCAGAAAACCCTGGTAACCTGGTAAACCAGGGACACCAGGTCAGTGATGGCCAAGATGTACAAAATCATCAAGCACATGCTGACGGTCAGGAGGACCGGGTTAGAGCTCAGTATCAACAGGATCTTCAAAACATCCGAGGACGAGTGGAACCTGGCAGATATAGGAGGAAGTACAGCAGGGGTAGTATAATAATAGCCCATTCACTACTGAAATATTAAACGCTGTCTTCCCAGAGGACTTTGACTCGGCACGTTTACCGAAATATGATGGGAGCCAAGATCCGGAGGTGCACATAGATGCCTTTGACACAGACATGTATATTCGGGGAATTGTTGAACCTCTCATATCCCGAATATTTGCTATAACATTGACGGGGCAGCACAGGCATGGTTTTCAACCTTGCCTTCTAATTCCATCGGATCCTTTGAGGAGTTCGGACAGAAGTTCCTGTTGAACTTTGCAACCAGCAAGAAGCATCCTTAGTCCGAGTTCGCTCTTGGAAAGATACGACAGCAACCTGGAGAAACCCTCCAAAGATACCTTAACCGGTTCAAGGACGCTGCACTGCAGGTCCCAGGGTTGCAAGAGAATGTCCACGTCCATCTCATTGTCGCAGGTCTGGATGGTGGATCCAGACTCGCCAAGTCGGTCTATAAGGACCCAGTAAAGACATTGGAGGAGTTTAGAACTCGCTCGAAGAAATACCTTGCACTAGAGCAAATGGAGATTGCAAATGCGCAATCTGATGAAGTCAACAGAACAAGCCCGAGAAGGAGGAGTCCACCCCCAAAGGGAAAGGAACGAGTTAACAGCAAGAAGAAGG